AATAAAATACATGTTCTTTTACTTTTTACGTTTTTTTTTATGATTATTAAATTTATAAACACTTAAAAAAGTCATAGTTTATTCTTATAGTGTATGATATTAAATTAATAAATTTAATTTGCTTCGCCAGCAAATTTGTCAGCCAATATCTGGTGTGAGCAATAACGTTGCGTTCAAATCGTGAGTTTGACTTGAATATTATTAACACGTGTGACACTCTGCAAATAGTTTCGGCACGTGTTTAAACAAACGATTTAATTAATCAAGTTTTTTTCACGCACCCTAATGAATATATTTCAGATTTTCCAAATATCAGACGGAAGTAAATATTTAAACTTACCGATCGGGGCTTAAACTGTTTAGATTTGGCATTTTTACTGGAATTTTTTAACGCTTTGTACATAAGTCAAAGTTTTTCATCAAATAGAGCTACTGTGTTTTTTTTTAGCCTCCACGGTAATGCATTCGAAAACGTTGATTTCAATACTTGTTTTTTGGGTTGCTGTACATTGTTTTACACGCGTTGTGTCGGATGTTATAACCAGATCGCAGAAATTGGAACTTGCCAATAAATTAAACATGTTGGTACAACATCAGGGATGGCGACAAATGGACTACGTTAAAATCACAAAACATATGAATAATAACAGTACAATCGAAGATCCTATGTCCGTAATACTCAAAACCGTATCGCTGAACCAGAAACCGGTCGACGAATTCAACGTCCTGGAGAAATACGACGACATTTTGACTGTGTTCATGTGTAAGTACGCCGAGGTTATTTTTAAGTGCAGGAGTCTCGTGCAACATTTCATACGGGTTTGCCGAAATGAAAAAATAAAATATTGCGGTAAAACGACCGACTATTCGCTTAAAAATTATTACGATTGTTTTCGTTTGTTGCTGGTCAAACTTCACAGCATATCCTCGAGGTTCAAATGCATGACAGACGCGTTGGAATTTCTTAACTCGCTAGGTCTGCCACCGAAATCTAAGAGTGCTATAACGGTGGCCACAGAAAAATTGGCCGAGTATACGTCAACTGTAGGGCCGACAACGTCGTCGAGATTGTCCGACAACGGTATGAACGAGTATGCGGTCGAACTCGAAATAAAAGCCATAAGTGAATATTTCTTGAATGTAATTAACGTGCACATCTATAAGTTTTCAAACTATAATTGCAACATTTCGTCGCACACATATTGGAATACGCAGATTTTAAGCGAAAATTTTGACTTCAAAAAGAGCCACAAGCTGATACCGGAGGAAACGACTATGGTGCAATATGTAAGAGACGAAATGGACTGTTACGTTAACGATATTTTGAGCAGTTGCTTTTTTGATTTGGGCTTCGGCTACGATGGGACGGGAAGCGTTTTAATACGGAATAATTAAAATATTATTAGCCATTACCGATTTATAGTGTACTCATTTATTTTTTTTTTTTAAAACAGTTATGTATTAACAAATAAAATATTCAACGTGGTATTTTATTTTATTGCTTTGTATGTGTACATGTAGACTAAAATGATCATTTAAGTAATCTTGATAAATAATGAAATTTGAAAAAAAAATGTAACGCAATTTTGGGGAAATATTAATAAACGTAAAACGGATTCAAAAGATTCGACAATGCCGACTTTATCAAGTAACCGGTCCGGCGATAAATTCAAACAAATTAATTATATACATATTGAAATACCTATATTATGGGCAATTTAATAATAAGTTAGTAAATATATACATTTTGTTGGCTTTTTCCTCCGTTTGGATCAGTGGTCGAATACTGGCCCCAACCCATTGAAACTCACGGGGGTTTAATTGGCTGGTCTTAATAATAAACCTCAGAAAAAAACCCAATGGCCAAAAAAAATTGCAAATTTTAAACTTTACACTTGAAGTAAGAAGATAAACAATATTAACGACATAATTTATGATAAAGTATATGTTTTTATACTTAAAAAAAAATGTTTTTTACATAATTGACGCCAAACGGCTTTTATACATAATTTGTGCTTCTAAGATTAACAGGAATGTAATAAAACATGATCAACACATATGGTCTACCTACTATTTCGGGATAATTGTATAAATTTAATGGACAGCGATTTCGTCTTGAAACCATCATTTCATGCGTTAGACCTTCAAGAACTATTATGCTTTCGTGATGGTGATATTATATTAAACATAATATATGTATGCAAAATCATTAAACATTTTTATTTTAATATTACTTGAATTTAATAGACCCATAACAACATAACATAATATCAAAAAGTTGATAGAAAAATAATCACTACCATTTTCCCATTTAACCCTATTAAATATAACCCATTAAAATACGATCATGCTGTTTTTTTAAAAGCCCGTTTTTTGAATCTTGATCATAAGTGCCTAGCTAACAAATTCATTTGACACTGCCGCCTTATCTCACTCTGCCACGCGCCTGCAAACCAAGAGTTAATCGCGAATATAATTGGCTAATAGTTTTGGCACTTGTGTAAACAAAAAATCAATTTAATAGACATTTTAATCGAATATTTTTACGCTGTGTGCATTAGTCAAAGTTTTTCATTGAATAGTGTTACTGTGTTTTCTTTAAGCCGGCACGATAATGCATTCGCAAACGATGATTTCAACTCTAGTTTTTTGGGTTGCTGTACATTGTTTTCCACGCGTTATGTCGGATGATACATTCAGATCGCAGAAATTGGACCTTGCCAATAAATTAAACACGATGTTGCAACATTCGGGATGGAGACAATTGGACTACGTTAAGATCACAAAATTTAGAAATAACTCCACTGTAATCGAGGATCCCATGACCACAATACTCGAAGCCGTATCGCTGAACCAGAAGCCGATCGACGAATTCAACGTCCTGGTGAAATACGACGATATCTTGACTGTGCTCCAGTGTAAGTACGCCGAGGTTATTTATAAGTGCAGGAGTATCGTACAACAATTCATACGGGTTTGCCGAAATGAAAAAATAAAAAATGCCGGTAAAACGGCAGTTTTTTCACTTCAAAGTTTTTACGATTGTTTTCATTTGTTGCTGGTCAAACTTCACAGTATATCGTCGAGATTCAAGTTCATGGCAGACGCGTTGAAATTTATTTACTCGCTAGGTCTGCCACCGAAATCAAAGAGTGCTATAACGGTCGCCATAGAAAAATTGACGAAGTATACATCAACCGTAGGGCCGAGAACTTCGTCGAGATTGTCCCAACACGGTATCAACGAGCAGGTGGTCGATATCGAAATAAAAGCTATAAGCCAAAGCTTTGTTGAAGTCATCAGCTCGCACGTAAATGATTATTCAGGCATTCATTGCAACATTCCGTCACACACATATTGGAATACACAGATTTTAAACGAAGATTTTGAGTCCAAAAAGAGCCAAAATATGATACCGGAGGAAACGACTATTGTGCAATATGTAAGAGACGAAATGGACTGTTACACTAACGATATCACTGATAGTTGTTTCTTTGATTTGGGCTTCGCATACGACCTGCCGGGAAACGTTATCATTCGGAATATTTAAAATATTACTAGCCGTTACCAATTTACAGTATAAAGTTATAATTATAATATATTGTGTATTTCCGACTCGTGTAGATTTTTTCGTTTAAAACTATTATGTATTAACAAAACAAATAATCAACGTGGCATTTTATTTTATTGCTCTGTACTTGTACACGTAGATTAAAAATATCATTTAAGGAAACACGATAAATAATAAAATTTAAAACAAATGTATGGCACGCATATGATTTGGGAAATATTAATAAACATAAAACGTTTCGGCGTAATTATGATTCGACATTGCCGACTTTAGCTAGTAACTGATTTGTAAATAAATATAAAAAAATCTATTATTTAAATATACAATAACTATATTTTAGACAATTTAATATTAAGTTTTAAAATATGTTAATTTTGTAGGTGTTTTTCTCCATTTGGATCAGAGGTCAAATACTGGCCACAATCCATTGATGTTCACTGGGGTTTAATGGGCCTACCCAGTATTGAAACACAAAAAACCCAACGGGCAATAAAAATTGCAATATTTAAAATTTACACTTTAAGTAAAAATTTTAAACATATTAACAATATATTTTATGATAATATACATGTAATTTTACTTTTTACATTTTTATACAATGAAAAAAGTCATAGTTTTTTCATTTAATATATGATAATAAATTAAAAGAAAAACGTATGATTTCGCGTTAGTAATAATAATAATGTATAAAATTAATGGACAGCGATTTCGTCTTGAAACCATCTATATATCATGATGGTAACGCGTTAGGCCTTTAAGGACCGTTAAGCTCGCATGATGATGATATCATATTAAATATAATATAAGCAATCATTAAACATTATAATTTTGACATTACATAAATACACTAGATCGATAACATGATATCAAAAAGTATATGTTGAAAGAGAAACCATCAGTAAAGACAAATTTCCAATTAAAGCCAATTTATTATAACTCATTCAAATTCGATCAGGCTTATTTTTTTAAAAGCCCGTGGGTTTTCTGAATCTTGATTTTGAATAGGAAAGGATGAGTTTTTTAAATATTTGGTCTAATAAAGTGGCTTATAGGTGCAATTTCTGATAGAAGTGCTACACAAAGAAATCGTTTTAGCGGTTTAGAAGATATAATTGGTAGTAGGTACAGACATAAATATAAAAAAAATAGAAACTCATTGTTGTAACATATCGAAGCTAAAAATAGTAAATAATAAATTCGTATGGCAATAAGTGTCTTGCTTGGTTAAAAAATATTTTGTTTTCTGTCTGTACTCACAATCACACTAAATATACATACATCTGTTAAACTGAGTGGTAGTCTAGACATATGTAAAAAATCTTTGAAAAAAATTTACAATTTATGGTTTGTTTGCAAATTTGACAACCAATATCTGGTGAGAACAATAACATGCTTGGGACGTTGTGTGTAGTCCAAGAGATCATTGCGAATATTATTGGCCCATAGTTTTGGCACTTGTGAAAACAAATAAATGATTTAAAAGCATTTTTAATGGAATTTTAAATGCTGTGTGCATTAGTTAAACATTTTCATCGAAAAGTGCTGCTACTCTGTTAGGTTTTCTATCCGCCACTATGATGCATTGGCATACGTTGATTTCAATACTAGTTTTTTGGGTTGCTGTACATTGTTTTATACGGGTTGTGACGGACGATACACTCAGATCGCAGAAATTGGAACTTGCCAATAAATTAAACACGTTGATGCAACATCCGGGATGGCGAAAAATGGACTACATTAAAATTGCAAAACATAGAAATGGTTGCAGGGAAATGGCGGATCCCATGTCCGTAATACTCGACGCCGTATCTTTGAACCAGAAGCCGGTCGACGTATTCAACGTCCAGGAGAAATATGAGGAGATCTCGACTGTGCTCAAGTGTAAGTACGCTGAGGTTATTTTTAAGTACAAGAGTCTCGTGCAACATTTCATACGGGTTTGCCGCAACGAAAGAAAAAAGGATAAAATGGCCGACAATTCGCTTGAAAGTTATTACGAATGCTTTCGTTTGTTGCTGGTCAAACTTCACAGCATGTCTACGAGGTTCAAGTTCATGACAGACGCGTTACAGTTTATTTCCTCGATAGGTGTGGAAGCAAGACCTGTGAGTGCTATAACGGTCGCCACAGAAAAATTGACCGAGTATACTTCAACTGTAGGGCCGGTAACTTCGTCGATGTTGTCCCAAAACGGCATCAACGAGCAGGTGGTTGGATTCGCAATGAAAACCATAATCGAATATTTTGTAGATGTAATTACCCACCACGTATATTCGTTTTCACACTATTATTGCAACATTTTATCACACAATTATTGGACTTCACAGATTTTACTCGAAGATTTTATGTCCAAAAAGAGGCACAAGCTGATACCGGAGGAAACGACTATGGTGCAATATGTAAAAGACGAAATGGACTCTTTCGTTGACGATATCTATGGCAGTTGTTTCTTCGACTTGGGCTTGGCCCACGACCTGCCGGGAAACGTTATAATCCGGAATATTTAAAATATCATTAGCCATAACCAATTTACAGCGTAAAAATTATAAATATAATAATGTATTGTGTATTTCCGACTCATGTAGATATTTTTTGGAAATATTATTAAACATAAAATCGATCTATAAGACGTTCCGGCGTATTTATGATTCGACAATACCGACTTAGCGATTGACCGTTTCGGCGATAAATAATATATTGAGATATTGAAATAAAATTTGGACATTGCAATAAAACATTAAAAAATATGTAAATTTTGTTGTTGTTTATCTCCATTTTGAAGGGTAAGGGATGAACTTTTTTACATTTTTCATCCAACAAAGTGCCTTAGAGGTACGATTTCTGATCTATATTAAGATATTGTAGATACAAAAAAAAAAAAAAAGGCATTGTAAAAATAATACCTTCCCAGCTATGCATAAAAGACTAAATAATTAATTATCTAGATACTTTAGGAAACACGCATACATACATGTTTACAAAGGAGAATCCTAACCTAAACTTTTCAAAATGTTGTCAATGAACTTGTTAATATTTCGAAAATATTTTAACATTATGTTATGGCAGTAGTTTAAATCATTCAAAAATAAAATATGGTTAATGTTTTACTTGTATCAGTAAAACATATATAAATTATATAACTATAGTTAAACGGTTTTTATAAGTCAAATAAGTTCTGTTACGCAAATAATTATAAATTAATTTAAAAAAAAAATCTTAAAAATATTTTCTAGAATAAAAGTTATTTCATTTGTCGAATCATTGTGGAACACCCTGTATGATGATAGCATAGCGAATAGTCTTATAATAAGGCCAGTAAGTAAGTGCCTACCTAACAAATTCATACCGCCTTATCTCACTCCGCCACGTGCCTGCCAACCAAAAGCTCGTCGCAAATGTAATTGGCTATTAGTTTTGGCACGTGTGTAAACGAAAAATTAATTTAATAGACAGTTTAATCGAATATTTTTACGCTGCTTGCACTAGTCAAAGTTTGTCATTAAATAGTGCTACTGTGTTTCTGTTAGCGGCCACGATAATGCATTCGCAAACGTTGATTTCAACACTTGTATTTTGGGTTGCTGTACATTGTTTTACACGCGTCGAGTCGGATGATCCACTCAGATTGCAGAAATTGGAACTTGCCAATAAATTAAACACGATGTTGCAACATTCGGGATGGCGACAAATGGACTACGTTAAAATCACAAAAACTAGAAATAATTGCACTGTAATCGAGGATCCCATGTCCGTAATCCTCGAAGCCATATCGCTGAACCAGAAGCCGGTCGACGAATTCAACGTCCTGGAGAAATATGACGACATTTGGACTGTGCTCAAGTGTAAGTACGCTGAGGTTATTTATAAGTGCAGAAGTATCGTACACCATTTCATACGGGTTTGCCGAAATGAAAAAATAAAAAATGCCGGTAAAACGGCCGTCTTTTCGCTTCAAAAATTTTACGATTGTTTTCGTTTGTTGCTGGTCAAACTTCATAGTATATCGTCGAGATTCAAGTTCATGGCAGACGCGTTGGAATTTATTTACTCGCTAGATCTGCAATCGAAAAAAAAGAGTTGTATATCCGTGGCCACAGAAAAATTGACCGAGTATACTTCAACTGTAGGGCCGAGGACGTCGTCGAGATTGTCCCAACACGGTATCAACGAGCAGGTGGTCGATCTGGAAATAAAAACTATAAGCCAAAGCTTCTTTGAGGTAATCAGGTCGCACGTAACTGAATATTCACGCATCCGTTGCAACATTTCGTCGCACACATATTGGAATACAGATATTTTAACCGACGATTTTGAGTTCAAAAAGTGCCACAAGCTGATACCGGAGGAAACAACTATGGTGCAATATGTAAGCGATGAAATGGATAGTTACATTAACGATATCACTGATAGTTGTTTCTTTGATTTGGGCTTCGAATACGACCTGCCGGGAAACGTTATCATTCGGAATATTTAAAATATTACTAGCCATTTCCATTTTACAGTGTAAAATTATAAACATAATATATATTGTGTATTTCCGACCCATGTAGATGTTTTTGTGTAAAACAATTATGTACCAAAAACTTGATATCAAATAAAATATTCCACGTGGCATTTTATTTTATTGTTTTTTACTCGTACACGTAGACTAAATATATTATTTAAATAAACACGATAAATAATAATATTAAAAACAAATTGATGTCGCGCAATTTTGAGAAATATTAAACATAAGACGTTTCGGCTCTTTAAGACGTTTCGGCGTAATTAAGATTCGACAATCCCGACTTAAGCGAGTGACCATTTCGGTGATAAATAAAATCACTTTTATTAATAAAATATTGAAATACCTGTGTTTTAGACAGTCTAATAATAAGTTAGGAAATATATAAATTTCGTTGGCATTTCTCCCTATTAGAATCAACGTTTAGATTACTGACCCAACCCATTGAAACTCACTGGGATTGAATGGGCTAGACCCAGTAATAAAACTAAAAAAAAAGCCAATAGGCAAAATGAAATTGCAAACTTTAAACTATATACTTTAAGTAACATTATTAACAACATGTTTTATGATAAATTACATGTTATTTTACTTTCTACATTTTTTTTATGATTTTTACCTTTTTATACATTTGATTGTATCACTATGACGAAAAAATGTTATATTTATTTCATTTATTAAATTATATAAAATTAGTTTTTAAAAGTATGATTTCGCGTTTATAAATGTACAAAATGAATGGACAGCGATTTCGTCTTGAAACCATCATCTCATGATGGTAGCGTTAGGCCTTCAAGATTATGCTTTCGTGATTATGATATCATATTAAATATAATATGTGTATGCAAAATCATTAAACATTTAAGTATTGTTTAAATTTAGCAGATCCGTAACTTAATATTAAAAAGTATGTGTTGGTAGAAAAAAATTCAGTAAAAACTAATTGCCCATTTAACCCTATTAATTAATACCCATAACCCTTTGACTTTTTACATCAATACATGTATATGTCTTGCAATCCTTGATCTCTAATCCACCATCTTTATTAATTCACCTTCATAAATCCTTAATACTCCATCATGATCCCTCCAATATCCTCCCTAATAGTCCCTCCATGATCCTCTATTCTTCCTTCATAATCCTCCGCCATACTAGTTCTCCATATCCATAATAACGTCAGCACTGCGACACAAAACGTGACGGACATATTTTCAGAATGACCTTCAGCCATAAGAAAAAACCATGTCGAAACTACTAAAAAACGATTGGCCAGAACATCCGATCTATAATCTCCTTGCGATATATGATGATAGTATAGTCTTAAAATAAGGCCAGTGAGTAAGTGCACACCTAGTTAATTAATTTGACACTGTCGCCATCTCCACTCCGCCACGCGTCTGCAAACCAAGATCTCATCGCGATTACTATTGGCTCATAGTTTTAACACGTGTGTAAACAAAAAAAAAAAATTAATAGACATTTTAATCGAATATTTTGACGCTGTAGTGTGCATTAGTCAAAGTTTTTCATTAAATAGTGTTACTGAGTTTTCTTTAAGCCGAATAATAAGCCACGATAATGCATTCGCAAACGTTGATTTCAATTGTAGTTGTTTGGATTGCTGTACATTGTTTTGCACGCGTTGTGTCGGATGATACAAACAAATCAAAGACATTGGAACTTGCCAATAAGTTAAACACGATGTTGCAACATTCGGGATGGCGACAAATGGACTACGTTCAAATTAAAAAACATAGAAATAATAGCACTGTAATCGAGAATCCCATGTCCACAATATTCGAAGCCGTATCGTTGAACCAGAAACCGGTCGACGAATTCAACGTCCAAGAGAAATATGAGGAGATCTTGATTGTGCTCAAGTGTAAGTACGCTGAGGTTATTTATAAGTACAGGAGTCTCGTACAAAATTTTATTAGTGTTTGCCGAAACGAAAAAAAAAAGGATAAAATGGCCGACAATTCGTTTCAAAATTATTACGAATGCTTTCGTTTGTTGCTGGTCAAACTTCACAGCATGTCTACGAGGTTCAAGTTCTTGGCAGACGCGTTAGAGTTTATTACCTCGATAGGTCTGGAAACAAAACCTAAGAGGAGTATAACGATCGCCACAGAAAAATTGACCGAGTATACATCAAATGTAGGGCCGGTAATGTTGTCGAGATTGTCCCGACACGGGATGAACGAGCAGGTGGTCGATCTCGAAATAAAAGCTATCAACGAATATTTTACGGATATGATTACTCACTACGTATATTCGTTTGCAAACTATTATTGCAACATTCCATCATACACATATTGGACTTCGCAGATTTTAAACGAAGATCTTAGTTCCAAAAAGATCCACAAGCTGATCTTGAAGGACACGACTATGGTGCAATATGTAAAAGACGAAATGGACTCTTACGTTGACGATATCTATAGCAGTTGTTTCTTCGACTTGGGCTTGGCACACGACTTGCCGGGAAACGTTATAATCCGGAATATTTAAAATATTATTAGCCATTACCAATTTACAGTGTAGAATTATAAATACAGCAATGTAATGTATCGCAAGTAGACTATAGATAGATAATAATCATATAATTATCAGGACATAATCATGTATTGATGTATCTGCGTGTGGATACACTTAACTGAGTTTACTCAGTTTTTTTATGTGTTTACATAATAATAATTATATTTGTTAAATATTAAAAATAATTATAGCTTAAAATAGCAAATAATAAATTCGTATCGCAATAAGTGTCTTGATTGGCTAAAAACTATTTTGTCTTCTGGCTGAACACACAAACATAATAAATATACATACATATGTTAAACATAGTGGTAGTCTAAACAAAAGTAGAAATCATTGAAAAAAATGTACAATTTTTGGTTCGTAAACAAATTTATCAACCAACATGCTTGGAACATTGCGTATAAATTATGATGTTGACGTAAATTTTATTAAGTGTAGCCTGCTACAATATATTTTGGCACGGGTTTAAACAAAAAATGAAATTCATATAAACGATTGTTAAGTTTCATGAACATTGAGTGCAAAGTTTTTCATCGAATAGAACCTACTGCGTTTGGTTTTTTACCCGCTACAATGATGCATTGGCAACCGTTGATTTCAATATTAGTCTTTGTGGTTGCTGTACTTTGTTTTACACGCGTCGTGTCAGGTGATACGATCAGATCGCAAAAATTGGAACTTGCCAATAAATTAACCACATTGGTGCAACATCCGGGATGGCGGCAAATGGACTACGTTAAGATCAAAAAACATAGAAGAAATATCAGTACAATCGAGGATCCCATGTCCACAATACTCGAGACCTTATCGCTTAACGGAAAGCCGTTCAACGAATTCAACGTCCTGGAGAGATATAGAGAGATCTCGACTGTGCTCAAGTGTAAGTACGCTGAGGTTATTTATAAGTCCAGGAGTCTCGTGCAACATTTCATACGGGTTTGCCGAAATGAAAAAACTAAAAATGGCGACAAAACGACCGACTATTCGCTTCAAAATTATTACGAGTGTTTTCGTTTGTTGCTGGTCAAACTTCACAGCATATCGCCGAGGTTCAAGTGCATGGCGGACGCGTTGGAATTTTTTGACTCGCTAGGTATCCCACCGAAATCTCAGAGTGCTGTAACGGTGGCCACAGAAAAATTGACCGCGTATACGTCAACTGTTGGGCCGAGCACGTCGTCGAGGTTGTCCGACAACGGTATCAACGAGTATGCGGTCGATCTCGAAATTAAATCCATAAGCGAATATTTCTTGGATGTAATTAACGTGCACATCGCTAGGTTTTCAAACTATAATTGCGACATTCGGTCTCACACATATTGGAGTACACAGGTTTTAAACGAAGATTTTGAGTTAAAAAAGAAGCACAAACTGATACCGGAGGAAACGACTATGGTGCAATATGTAAGAGACGAAATGGATAGTTACATTAACGATATCTTGAGCAGTTGTTTCTTCGATTTGGGTTTAGCGTATGACTTGACGGGAAACGTTATAATCCGGAATATTTAAAATATTATTAGCCATTACCAATTTACAGTGTAGAATTATATATTTATATATAATAATGTATTGTGTATTTCCGACTCATGTAGTTAGTTTTGTTTAAAACAATTATGTATTAACAGTTAAAATATTCAACATGGCAATTTGTTTTATTGCTTTGTACTCGTACACGTAGACTAATTATATCATTTAAGTAAACACGATAAATAATACAATTTGAAACAAATTGATGTCACGCAAATTGAAATGACCATTTCGGTTAAAAATAAAAAAATTAAATTTTGTGCCGCTAAAGTCTTACATTTTTATAATAATAATTACAAAATAAAAAATGCTACATTCTATTTAGAGCCTCTAACGTCTAAAATTATAAAACATGGATTATGCTGAAGCCTGCTGGCTCCTGAATAGTGATTATTTCTGATCTATAATCTTCTTGCGATTTATAATGATAGTATAGTCTTAATTACATGTTTTGGCCAAATAAACAATAATCATGTTCCTCAGGTATTGTGTTACCTACTTTAGTGTCGCTTAAACATGTTCCATGCTAAAATCAGTCAAGTCCACTGGGTTTGACTGTTTTTCTTTACAGTTTTTCGTTAATCATATCATGCTATGTTTATTCACACCATTGCATACTACAAATTTCAAAATGTTGTCAAAAAACCTTTTTTGAAAATATTTTAAAGATAATTTTCGAATTAAATTTACAAAAATAAAGTATTTTAAAAACATATCTAATGTTTTCTTATATTTTAAATATTTTGATAATGGTTTCTATATTTTATTAATACTCCTAATTTTGTTTAATATAATTTTTAAACATTTCATTTCGTACTAAAAAATGATTTTGTAGTGTTTTGAAATACTAACAATTTTTTTGATTTTAATTTTTTTTTTTTTTGCTTTCCATGTATCAACTTTTTGTGTCTGCGTTTTAAAATTTACCATATTTTTGAAGAACTATCAAGGCGACAGCAGTTTACGGACGATAATCATCGCCCAAATCTGGGACAGATGCTTATAAATATATTATTATATTATGGATGCGACTGTTTTCTTATCGTTTGAACGAAATCGACGGTGCTCCACTCCGGCTGATGTGTCTTAAACGGCTCTAACCCTCGGTGGGTCGATCGAGGATACGCGGTCGGTCGGTTATTGTTAAAATAATATAACAATAGTATTACAACCGAGATCTACCGATTAATCGGTCTCGTGTTGGAACAATAAAATAATGAAAAACGTCGACAACAGCTAAGAGGTTGACAACTGCTCTACAGGTGTGAACACATTTTTGTCGCCCGCCTGGTTTTAAAGCGACAGACGAACGAAGCTACCTTTGTAGTGTTGTTTATTGTGCTGTTCGATCATTTTTTCGACCGGTCGTTTACGGTAGTCCTAATCTAATCGCCCAAATCGCAGCAACTTTAGCCCAGATAATATGTTATTACAATTTGAGCGGTCCGGTCCTAGGTTTCCGTAAACACACTAATATACTGTCAAAAGTTTTGATGATTTAGAAATTGCATTAAAACGTTTAACAGTGAAAGCTTTCTAGTCCAGGAAGCTACTTGTTGAATAATATTTTAAGTAAAATAAAAATTTAATAATAATGTCTGATCATAAAATTTAACTTTGAACCGTAGAATCGTTACTGCTGAACTAATATTAGTTTTTTTTCAGGTACGTTTACACTACAAAAATACTTAATCAGTATGATACCATAAAAGGGTAAGTTTCATGATAATAAATTAGCTATTAAGAAGACTTATTATATAGTTTTATTCCTTGCTGGCTTCTAAACGCCTACTTATAAAATATATTGTATCACTACCCTATTGGGTTTAATGTTTAAAAAGGACAAATCTCATACTAAGTTACTGTGGGGGCAAGTGTTTTCGATTTTCCATCGGATTCCAGTTAGCAGGTAGAAGACTGCTACCGAGTAAGCTCGGGCATTTGTATGAATTGCCAATAAAAAAAAAAAATATGTACTGTTAGTTCAAAAATTTAAATGTAGCCAGCTGAAGAAATACATATAACTCACTACAACAGTAATACAATAGGTATGTGCATAGTTAAGAATACTAAACGGAATTAGTCGATTACATGAATTAGTTAAATCGAAATTACCATTTTAACTACTTAAAAATACTGTAATAAATGCAACTACCTATTGAGTTCAGCCAACAGTAATCAATAAAAAGCAAAATGTTAACTAAATACAGTTTAGTATGAAAAATGTGTTTTTGGTGTTTTGAATTAAAATCATATAATTGATGCAACCATAAAAGTTATGAAAATAGTCAAATTATTTTCATAAATTTATTTAACAGTTGGTTGAGTTTGCAATGTAGTTAGAGATGTGTAACTATTTTCGTTGTAAGTATAGTTCAACCTAAATAAATGGTTATGTTTTGGTTTAGTCGGTTACACCCGATTAAACCAAAATACTATTTATTGGTTAATAGTGGAATATTAAAATAATAATTTTAACTACCTATCCTATGAATATTTTATAGACATTTGGTATGTACATTGTACACATATAGTAATTTATTTGTAGTACCCACTACTTACTAATATTAGTACAGCCTATTCTGTATTAAGCCCTATATTAAATAGTTTTTAGTTGATGTTACGGTATTTGAGTTAATTTAATAACAAATTGAATACATTATTAAAAAAACTAGGTAATGCTATTTCTCATTCACAACAATGTATGCATCATTGCACTATTAAATATATTTAATCTATGATTTCACTAACTGAATTATAGGTATGTGACCGTTGTCTTAGATAACTCCTTATGAAGGGGTTTGAGTGTAAAACATTAGTTTTGCAGTACTGATTTATATATTAGAGACTGGTATATAAATGTGGACTACTTAATTGGTTACAACTGCTTTGTTTAATTATTGTATTTTATTTTACAAAAAAGCGTTTAAACGTTTCCTGTTTCTGGAATATTTACCAGACACCTATATTTATGCATTATTATATATGTTTTGTCGAATCCTGTCAAAATGGTGAAAATCAGTATTTAATCAACACGGTTAAAGCTTAGGTTTTTATGGACCGTGTCGACTCCGGTGTATAAATACAAACCCGTTTTCCAACTCTGTTACAATCGCATTGGACTAAACGACATGACCTCACCCCTCCGGTTTTTGTCTCTTCGATTGCTCTTGACGTTATTAATCGACGGCGTGGCGGTTAAACGGTCTTTCGGTCAACGGCCAAACACCAATTAGGTGTTTAATATTTAAATTAATTCGGTAATTAATATCAACCGAATAATTTTTCCTCGTCGTCCTCGTTACAAAAGCAAAGTGCGCCGTTTGCCGTCGTTGACTTATACATTACAAAACCCGCGTTATCTAAAATCTTTTCCGTCTCGTTAGTGTCTGTTATTAAATTTCTGTCAAGCGGAAAGCAACGATCGTCCATTTACATATACACACTTTGTACATTATATTCTTATTGTTTCTTTTTTTTCGACGCGAAAAAAAAGTCGTCCCAATAACCAAAGACGATTGATCAACGTCGCACATCAAATCTCCCGAGTTATACCACGCAGCAGCAGATTTATAATAATAATATAATTTAATGATAATACCCGACACAACCCCATTTACCGTATACAATGCTTACAACCCCTGCCAAGGGGCTACGGGCGGAAGGTGGGGGCGATTAAAAAACAATGTTACATCGTTTATAGATGATAATAAACGCACTGTCACGGATCGTGTTCCGCGGTCGTGGTACGAGCAAAGGAGGACCCTCGGTGTGCTTAATTTATCCGTGATCGATAAGAAGGTACCTGCATTTATCATTTTCCGCTGAACCGTCATGGCCCCTCTAAAGCCGGCGTGCACGTTCTTCTGGCCAGTGTATTCGGCAACACACGAAATATACCTATTTCTTAATAGTCTACGCCTGCGGCTACATTCAAACGGTATTTAGTCCTATAAATATATTGTACAGTGCAAAACGCGGGCATATCGCTTGTACCCATCTGCTGTGCGTTATTAATATCCGGCATGTCCGGCATCGGTCGCGGTATACACACCTTCCGGCTATGTTGTGGAAAAACAAAACTAAAAGAAAATTCGACAATGTGGGGGTGGGCTGCTGTAGGGAAGTTTAAATCGTTGTTCTATATTCGTCCAGACTATAAGAAAATGTCAGAAACTAATCAGACACAGCCCCACGAGTATGGTCTATAAACTTTACTGCAATTCTGCGGGAGTTTTCAGAATTTTTAAAATGTCTGAACTTCCTTAGCCCCTCCCCCCATCTAGTTTTCCCCACGTGAGCCGATTAATTAGGCGAAAGCAAAGAAGTCAAAACCCATGAGTTCTTCGGTACCAATTTAAACAACAACTTGATGATAGTTTCTTTTGAATAAATATATTTTTTTTAATTAGATATTATTTGCTTAAATTTACACTTAGGTATACTTTTGAGGGCAAAGAATCAACATATAATTTTTATTATATTATCGTAGTCCTCGACTTGACATTTTACATATTTATGAGGGCTGGCAAGGCGGAGGTGTAGTCCGTGGGATATTCTCGTAAAACACACATTAATTGAGGTAATTTTCTAGGGAAATATTAACCGCCGTTCTCCGATCGTTTTAATAATATGTCTATTATTATGCCGAAGTACATAATATTATACCTACTCGTTAAGGGTGCCTAACCTACCACAACCGTAACTATCGACTGGACGCGTTCGGTACCTACCCTATATAAATTCCATAAACCGCCATAAAAATGTAAATCGACCGTCGGTGTTGTACTATTAAAATGACCTCTAAGACTTTATTACACATAGAATAAATAAAAAAAAAAAAAGCCCTTCACATACCCAATTGTACGTAGTATATAGTATGTAGATGTCTATCGGATCATCCTAGCCGACCAACCCCTCTAATAATAATTTATTAACGGCATTGTTATCTTTGGTTTTTTTATTTTTACCTTGTACAACGTCACCGCCGTATTGTTTCCATCTGCGCGCGCGCCGGTATGTAAAAATTAATTCCCCCGAAAAAAAATAAAATAAAAAATACAGTTAAAAAACGACATTGTGTTCTCGCTGTAAATAACAAATTTATCGAACTGTACGACAGCGACCCCGATATTAAATCACCCTGCCTTGTGTGTATATTAAAAAAATATATATCCAAAAAACCCTTACAATAACAACGACGGGCTAGCACACACACACACATTCTTTGTACACATATATAAACCCCCACCGATTTATGTAAA